CTTCTCATTCCATCTTCTGACTGCCAATCACAATATTGGGTTGAACTATATAAAGGTACCGTTTTTTGCAGGCCAAAAATTGTTAGAAATCAGCAATGTCATATAATTCATCCAAACACTTTCCACTACATTATGCTCCCATTTGAGGCCTCTTTGCTGTGTCCTCACATGTGTAAGGGGCAAGAAAACAATCTGTGGTCTCCTCTATAAGGGCACTAATCCTGTTCATGAGGGCTTCACCCTCATGATTAATCACCTCCCTAAGGCCCCATGTCCTGATACCATCCCATTGGAGATTAGGTTTCAACATATGAATTTGGGGGGAGAGGCACAAACATTCAGTCTATAACAATTCACAAAAGAATTTAGGTCAAAGTATTTGAAGTTACTGTGTCAAGGAGCGAACCTTTTAAAATCTCTCTCTTTTTTAAAGTCTCCTCATTGGTGTCATCAGTTGGCTCTTCAGAAAGCTTGTGCTGCCTTGATTAACTTCAGTCTTGATAGCAGAACCAATCCTTTGCTGGTTCTGCTTTGGTTATGACAAGTGATTTAAAGATAAGGGAGTTTAAAGATGAATAGTCAAGAAAAGCTTAGGGATTATGGGGACCTTGAACTGAGCTTGAAGGATCCATAAGGTTCAAATAAACTGAGAGGGGAAACTTTTCCATCAGAAGCAAAGGTACAGTGGAAACAATGAATATGTCATATTGTGGAGACATCACAATTTTAATTTTTTTGGGTGGATAGTTACTTTATGGGAATAGTGGGATATAAACTGAGGAAAGGAATATCAACTGAGACTGAACTTCATCGAGTAGGTCATGGGAAGTTGTTAACAGGTTTTGAGCAGGGGAAGAGATGAGCAAAACATTATTTTCATGATTTCAGCAGACTTTGGGAAACCAGAAACATTTTGTTGTTGTGTTTTTTAATTTAAAAAAAATATTTTTATTGATTTCAGAAAGGAAGGGAGAGGGAGAGAGATACAGAAACATCAATGAGAGAAACACTGATCGGCTGCCTCCTGCACAGCCCCCATCAGGGACTGAGCCTACAACCCAGGCATATGCCCTTGATGGGAATCGAACCTGGAACCCTTCAGTCCACAGGCCAACGCTCCATCCACTGAGCCAAACTAGCTAGGGCTGTTCTTAAACCAGAAACATTTTTAACAGTGGCAGGATATTTGTTTGAATGGTCACCTGTTTTAGAAATCATACATCATATAAATGTCCTAGGAGTGATTTGCCTTAGTGCTTAGCATGTGACAGTGGTCTGACTTGTTATACCAGAGATGACATGTCAGCCGTGTCTGGGTGTCTCAGCATCTTAGATTCATCAAGTTTGGAGATCATAGTGGCTGGACCCAAAATGATGCTGAGCAGCTATTTCACACGGAGGAAATCTCAAATTCTCCAAGTGAAGGTCAGTTGCCGCTGGGACAAAGATGTCCAGGCATTCAAACTGTCAGACATGTGGAAAGGGAAGGTGAGCAAGGAACCTCTTTACACTACAGCTGCTCTGATCCTCACATTGGTTGTTTGCTGGGGCTGACCAGCAGCCCCTGAACAACCAATGAACAGATGACTCCAACACAATTTCACTGAGAAAGAGAGAGCTAAGGGGTTGTCTGGCTCAAGGGACCAAGCTCCCTTGATTGCCTGCCTTTTATTATAATAGCAGTTTGAGATAAAGCTTATCTCTTAGATACAATCAGTAAGGTAAGTAATATTGGGCACACACACGTGTTTGTAATGTCCTTTAAGCAAGGACACCCAAAAGATTAAGCATAAGGATTCCAGTAAACACCCGGGAGTCTGCACATGCACAGACTTGTTTGGAAATGTCAGGGAATAATTAGGGGCGCCACCTTCAACATTTCCCTAAGTCTCCTTAAGTGGGAATTACGATAAACTGGTGGCCTTCCACTTACTACGTTCCTTTGCTCAGAATGTTCTCCTTACAAACTTTCCAACCACGTCTCATGTGCTCCTCAATAGTTGTTACACATGTGGTTACTACAAATCCTAATGAGAAGTGACTTTACAGCAAGCATTTTTTGGAAATAAAACTTCCATTTCTTTTAATAGCATTTTTGCTATTTTTAAGGAAATGTATATTGAAAATTCTGTTTTCCAGTGTGTATGATAAGTGAAATGCCATTGTTGCTGCTACATCATTATATTTCTTCCCTTTTGAAAAAGATAAATCAGATATTTTCAATCAGTGCAAAATGATGACAAATATTTCAGGCATCCTTAATTAGCAGACCAATATTTTATATTAATTAAAATGTCTTCTAAAACATGTACACTTTAAAAATCCACCTATATTTCACCAAACCTTACATAGCACAATGCTTATTTGTGAAAAAATAAGACATAGACTCGAATTTTAGAGTTTATGAGGGTTGGCAGCATGAAGGAATGAGGGATCCACACAGCATCGGTAGGCCCTAGAGAGATAGGGTTTTTCTTGAGATACATCATCAGAAGGCACACTAATCATAGCAAAATGCTACAACCAGTTAAAATAGTTGGTGGCATTAACTTAGGTAACTACCAAATAGAGCTTTGGTAAAGAGTCAAGCCGACCTGGTTTGGGATAGGATGCTATTGATTATCCAGGAGAGTAAACAGGGCATTACCAGTTCGCTGGGGCTTTACCCTCTCCCTACCTGAAGTCTTCATGGCATTCAGCTCTGTCTGTGGGTAAGGCCGGCTTCCTGGTGTGTGACTGGGCTTAGAAGAGTCTGGTGCTTAGTTTGATGTTCTCCTATCACCATCTTGAAATTCCAAGTAGATTTTGAACAAGGGGCTCCACATTTTGATTTTACATTGAGCACTTCAAATTATGTAACTAGTCCTTTCCTGATTCTGAAAGCTGATTTCACCTTCTTTATAATATACTTCTTTATCAAATTTTGTGCACTGGGTGGGGGGAGAGGGAGAGCCCCTCAGCTCGGTCTGCACCCTCTCGCAGTCCAGGACCCCTTGCTCCTTACCGCCCTCCTGCTTGCTGTTCCTTAGTGCTGCTGCGGAGGCGAGAGAGGCTCCCACCACCACCGCTGGGCGGTGCTCCCCCTGTGGAGGAGCTGCCCCCTGATGGTCAGTGTACATCATAACTGCCGGTCATTCTGCCAGTCATTCCTCCAGTTGTTCTAACGGTCAGCTGATTTATATATTAAGTTTTTATTATATAAGACTAGAGGCCTGGTGCACGAAATTTGTGCACGGGGGTGGGGGAAGGTGTCCCTCAGCTCAGCATGTACCCTCTCCAATCTGGGGCCCCTCTCACAATCCAGGACTGCTGGTTTCCAACTGCTCGTCTGCCTGCCTTCCTGATTGCCCCTACCTGCTTCTGCCTGCCAGCCTGATCATCCCCTAACCACTCCCATGCCAGCCCGATTAATGTCTAACTGCTCCCCTGCCAACCTCTTTCCCCCCAACTTCCCTCCTCTGCCAGCCTGGTCACCCCTAACTGCCCTCCCCTGCAGGCTTGATTGCCTCCAACTGCCCTCTGTTGTAAGCCTGGTGCCTCCCAACTGCCCTCCCCTGCTGGCCATCTTGTGGTGGCCATCTTGTGTCCACATGGGGCAGGATCTTTGACCACATGGGGGCAGCCATCTTGTGTGTTGGAGTGATGGTCAATCTGCATATTACTCTTTTATTAGATAGGATAGAGGCCTGGTGCATGGGTGGGGACAAGCTGATTTTCCCTGAAGGATGTCCCCGATCAGGGTGGGAGCTCCCTTGTGGTGTGGGGCAGCCTGGGCGAGGGGCTTGTGGTGGTTTGCAGGCCAGCCATGCCCCCTGATGACCTAAGCGGAGGTTTGGTTATCTGGAATTTATTTACCTTCTACAATTGAAACTTTGTAGCCTGGAGTAGAGGCTTAGGCCAGCAAGGGCAGGTGGAAAGCTTGGCTTCCTCCACTGCCTGGGAAACCCAAGCCTTCTTCTTGCTCTCTGTGGCTGTAGCCATCTTGGTTAGGTTTATTTGCATACTTGCTCTGATCGGCTGGTGGGCGTGGCTTGTAGGTGTAGTAGAGTGGTGGTTAATTTGCATATTACTCTTTTATTGGGTAGGATTATGAGATAAAAACTTGGTTTTCCCAGGATCAAGCTAGGGACCAGGGGAGGGGGAGGGGTAAGGGCTACGGTGAGCCATCGGAGCTTCTGGCCAACTCCTCTTATTTCCTCAGGAGGCCAGACTGAGCACAGCAGGAAAAGGAAGGAGAGCGAAGTGTCTAGGAGCAGGCGGGGGCTATTGACAGCTAGAGTTTCTCTATTAAGAACAACAGCAGCTGCTACTACTCTTGCTACGCCCACCACGCATCAAGGAGCTAATATCTGCCAAGCTCTCGCTAAGTGCTTCTTGTGCATTAGTTCCTCTTTCTTAATCCTCTTCACATCTTGCAAAATGAGTATTTCTATAAATGAAGACTCTGAAGTTTCTAGTAATTAAATTGCCTGCAATTACAGAGCTAGTAATGGTCTTTTCTCATTAACTGTCCTTTCTATTCTAGAAGTGGCCAACTATCTTTTGTTGTTAAAATTGAACTTGAATCACTTATTTGTCTACTAGAAAAGACTCAGGTTTACATAGTTTATATTCTATTTTTTTATTTTTGTATAATTGTAGATAGTGTTGTTATTTAGGAACTTTTGGATATAAATGTGTCTTTCCTTTTTTTCTACTGATATCTGGACAGCATACTAATACTAGAAGTGTTTTCCCAAGAAGAATTAAGTACACTCCTTTTCTCAGAAAATTGTGCCACTAAACAATGTTATATATTAGTAAACCTCAGCCCAAATTACATTTTTTTTCTTGGTTATTTCTGTTATTATTGTTTTCCTCCTTGTTATGTGTGATTGTCTCCTGCCATAATTAAAACAGGGTATCCATGTTTTCTATTCTAATTTTGAATTAAAGTGAGGTTTTAAAAAAACTTGTAAATAAACTCTATTCTGGACTAATCCCAATCATGGTTCCTGCAGGGAAGCTTCTCTGGCGGCTGATGTGCCCAGGCTTGGCTATAGTTCCTCATCCAATCACAAGTATATTCCCCGGAGGGCAGTGCTCTATGTACCTGGAAACGATGAAAAGAAAATAAAGAAGATTCCATCCCTGAATGTAGATTGTGCGGTGCTCGACTGTGAGGATGGCGTGGCCATGAACAAAAAGGTAATGGCGTAATTTTTTTTTGCTAAGGATGGGAAAACAAATGGATTGAAATGTGGTGCTCTCCTGGGAACATTGGCTTGCTTATTTGGAAAGATTCGGCTGCTCTCCCCTTTTGCTGATGACTAATCTATCCTTGACTCAGCCCTTGTATGAGTTCTGAATGTGTGCGTCTCTTTTCTCCAAGAGAAAGGAAGAATCATGTCCTTCAGGACATTCAGCTATGTGTGTGTAAAAAGAAATAGTCACAATCCTTTTTGTCCCTGATATTTGCTAGTTTGGATAAGTGACTTATTTTTAGAAACGTAGCATAAATTTTTCAGGCCAGTGAGAAGCAATTAGGAATTTATCTATCTATCTATCTATCTATCTATCTATCTATCTATTTATTTATCTATTTATTATTTTTACTGCCAGGTATATTAAGTAGTGGTCTTATCTCTTATGGGAAAAGTGCCCAGAAAATAAAAGAGAGTTTCTACAGATAAGTTACCATTTTCTCTACTTATTTAAAGGGAAACTGTGCATAGAACTTAGGGTTGCAGCTTTTGGCTGATTTACACATGGCCTGACCAGAGAAATGAGCCTCAGAAAACATCCAATTGTAAACAGGTACAAAAGATTCTTGCTGGATGGTGGCATTGTGGGGGCTTTTGATTTATTTTGGTTTGCTTACCTTCATTTTCCAGGTTTTTATAATGAACATGGATTTTTTTTTCAATAATTAGGTGAAATATGTAAATCATTAGAACAATAATTAATGTTTGCATTGGACTTTCTTTGTTAAAAGCATGCTTTCACTTGGCGTTTATCTAGTCCCTAAACAGGGAGGTTGGGCTGGGAATGGATTGTGGGGTCTGGGGGCAGAGGAGCTGACCATCTCAATATATGCCTATTGGGATAGTTTCTTGCCTTGGGTGAATAGCATGGCTGTACTTTACAACTTTCTTGATTGATTGCTTTTTCTTGGAGATTCTAGCAAACAAATATTTGCTTTAATTTTTTAAGAAAGTTAATTTCTAGTGTCTTCCTAATGACCAATTCACGGCTTTCCAAGTATTTGGGAAAGGCTTAGAATAAGCATGTGGAATTTATAGTGTCTACTCAAGGTCTTTGACATGCATTAAGGAAAATACAATTAATCTTCTTTCTGCCAGAGATTAAGGTAAATCAGCCTTTTCTCAAAGGACATAATGTGACTCCAGCATGCTCCCTTCTAAAACTCATGTAGTATACACTAAGATGAAATGCTATATTGTAATTCCAATTCTGTGTGACCTAGGGCAATTAACTTTACTTTTTTGCCTCAATTTCTTATCTGTACTCTGGGATAATAAAATCTTCTTTGTTAGGAACAGGGATTATTAGGAGGAAAAAATGTGATAAAATACCTCTGAGTAGCTTGATTTCCTCAGGAAATAGATTAGATAAATCCTGCAGTAATCATGATTAGAGGGGAATTTATTTGGCTTGTAGCACAGTGAGGCATTCAGTGCCCTCATAAACTTCTAATTACATTTCTTCACATGTCTTGAGGCCATCTTCTCATACCCACCTGAGGATGTGTCCTGCTATCCAGATGAGTTGGAAATGTGACGTGTTATTGCCTTCATTTCTTTTCTGTTCATCTGTGTTCCAAAGCTCATTCTTGTACCCAGAGCTCATTCTTTTTTTAAAATAATTTTTTAATTAATTTTCGAGAGGAAGGAGAGGGAGGGAGGGAAGGAGGGAGAGAGAGAGAGAGAGAGAGAGAGAGAGAGAGAAACATCAATGATGAGAGAGAATCATTGATTGGCTGAACTGGAGATCCAGCCTGCAACCCGGAGATGTGCCCTTGATCGAAATTGAACCTGGTACCCTTCAGTTCGTAGGCTGACACTCTATCCACCACTGAGCCAAACCAGCTAGGACCAGAGCTTATTCTTGTACCTGGAACCTAAGGAGGGGAAGGGGAGAAAAGAGTTTATGATGGACAAACCGTGCCTGCCCTCTTGGCATCTGCGTCTTCATCAGGACACTCTGGTTCTCCTAATACACTTAAACTTCACTTTAATTAATAGACACACTATTTTATGCACGGTGAGCTTTTTTTTTAAAGAGAAGTTCTTTTATAAAATATATGTATTTTTTATTGATTTCAGAGAGGAAGAGAGTGGGAGAGATAGAAACATCAATGATGAGAGAGAATCATTGATCAGCTGCCTTTTGCACGCCCCACACTGGGGATTGAGCCAGCAACCTGGGTTTGTGCCCTTGGCCATAATCGAACCTGGGATCCTTCAGTCTGCAGGCCCACACTCTATCGACTGAGCCAAACCGGCTAGGGGTGCACACTGAGCTTTTAATCAACTAAATTTCCCTTTCTTGTGCACAGAAAGTTCTGGCAAGTCAGACTAGTACTTTAAAAAAATAAATAAATAAATAAAAATAAAAATTTTTCCCCCTTAAAAATCTCTATCTAGGATTTAATTTTATCTCATGCATTTCATTTCATAGCCCTGGCCTGAAATACAGTTAAGGTCTTTGTGGATTTTTATTTCATCATCCAACATTTATATTATCTGAGTATTTGACCATTACCTATACTGTATAAAATTTTAGCAACTTTCTGATGAAAATGTTGAAGAGGTTGGAGCCAGGTCCTACACAAACATGCCACTAGGAAATTCTGTTGCAGTTTATTTATCAAGCATCTACATAGTGCTGACTAAATGCCAGGCACTGCTCTAAGAGCTTTTTTTTTTTTTTTTTTTTTTTTTTTTTTAATATATTTTATTGATTTTTTTACAGTGAGGAAGGGAGAGAGATAGAGAGCTAGAAACATTGATGAGAAACCAGCTGCCTCTTGCACACCTCCTACTGGGGATGTGCCCGCAACCAATGTACATGCCCTTGATCGGAATCGAACCTGGTACCCTTCAGTCCTCAGACCCACGCTCTATCCACTGAGCCAAACCGGTTTTAGCTCTAAGGGCTTTTTGCATAACAACCAAGTGAAGTGGAGGTATGTTCCTTCTCCAGATAAGGAAACTGAGGCATGGAGAAGTCAACACCATTCTCCTAAAATTCAGTCTTTTCACAAGGATATTATAAGAGATTTTTATCTAGAGTCATTTCAAAATGAAGACCTTCCCTGCACCCCTTTTAGGAACACTTTCTCCACACACCTTTGTGTGGCCAGAAGAATGAGGTTAGCCAAATGAGACTTGACCTTGAAAGACCCACGTCAGTACCTAGTTGTTGCCACCTTCTTTTGGAAATGTAGACACAAAACTGTTAATAGGTACCATTTGCTGCATGTTTTCTGTGCATATGAAATGCTTTCTATTTTATTTCATTGAATCTTTACAGAAAAGTTTTGAAATATGCCCAAGGTCACAGTGCCAATAAATGGCAGAATTGTATCTCCTAGAATTTTTGCCAGTTGTCAGCCTCGAGTTTATTGTGGGCATATCCCATAATTAACCTTTCCCCCCTTTCTTGGAAAGCTCTTTCTTTTTTTGTCATCTTTGGGTGTTCCTTGGTTTTTCAAAGATTATGATAGGAATTTCATATATGCAAATTCTTTCAGCATCCTGGGACTATAATTCATTTAGACCTGGGATTTCAATTCATTTGAAATGTCTAGATAAGTCTGACACTTCTCACATATCTCACATTACTTTTTTTGTCTTATAGTCACCTCTTAATATTTCTTGTTTATTATTTTAAAAATATTTTTTATTGATTTTAGAGAAAGAGGAAGAGAGAGGGGGAGAGAGAAACATTGATTGGTTGCCTCCAGCACGCACCCCAACTAGGGACCAAACCCGAAACCCCAGGCGTGTGCCTTGACCAATAATAACTGGCGACCCTTCAGTGCACCAGGCAACACTCAACCAACTGAGCCACACTGGCCAGATGAAGGAGACAGAATATAGACCACTTTCAGTGTTCTTATTTCTTATGAAACACTTCTTAAACCTCTCATTTCAGGTGATTTAGTTATGTATATAGTTTTGCTAAACTAAACTATTATTGCCCAGTTCAACTTCCTTGGGATTATTAAAACGTAGTCACTTCATTTGATATCTCATTTTATTTTTTAAAACTTATTTATTGATTTTAGAGAGAGAGAGGAAGGGAGAGAGAAACATTGATTTGTTGCTTCACTTATTTATGCACTCATTGGTTGTTTCTTGTATGTGCTCAGACTGGGGGTCAAACCCACAACTTTGCTTTATCAGGAATCTAACACAAACCCTTGGCACATTGAGACAAAGCTCTAACTAAGCTACTGGGCCAGGGCTGTATCTCACTTTATTAATAGATTAACCCAGTATTGCATTTTATTGACCCTGTGTAGTATGGTCTTGTAATGAAAACAATAGGAGTTTTCAGAGCAGTTTCTAAGAATATAATACCTTCCAGTGGGCTCTAATCCTGGTCTGCTAATCCAATTTGTGTGTTTAAGCAGCTCCTTCATGTCCAGGAGGGCACTACCACTTACCTTCCCAAGCGTGGGTGATGAAAAGACTGTCTCCACTTACTGCTTATCTTCTCCTCCTTGTTGTTAAATGCATGAGGAGATGCAGGCCTATCTAAGACCCTGCTTGCTGGGACACAGTGAAAATAAGCCAAGTAATCACGGATTCCTGGTGAACCTCCATGACACATGGCAAAAATGGAGTAACTAGAAGCAGGATTACAGGGCTGCTATTTTTATTTATTTACTCAAGTATTCATTATTTAAGTTTAAATATGTAAACGTAAAAGCTCAGTATTTCAATAAGTATTGAGTACTTACTCAACCAGGCATCATGGAGGGCAACAAAGATGGCTGCAGGCCTCTGACCTGGAGGAGTCAAAGACAGGTGGTGAATGAGGAGAAATAGTAACAATTGTAAACTCACAAGACAAGTCTATAAAAATGCACACTTTTTATTATCATTTGATTCTAAGTATATTTTAATTTCCAGTTTGATCTCTTGGTTGAGCCATGAGATGCATTAGAGTGTTTCCCA